AATAACTACAATTATTATCAATAAGGAAAAGAGAAGATGTGGCTGTAATTATTTAGCTGATTATTAGTCCATAAGTCTGGGAGAAGTGACTGTGTTTGTGTGTGTGTTCAATGTAATTATAATGTATATTATCTTGGGGAGTGAAATCTGTTTTGCAGGCATTTCACACACAAATTTTTCATCTAAAGCTCTTGGTCCTCAGTTGATTTTTCTTGTCAGTCATTTCCTGGTCTTGTTGTATTCCTTACTGTTTCCATGACATCCTGGGCCTTTGGAGAGCTTGCCTTCCAAGCTCCACTTTGGATGGTAACTATTCTGTTTGGTAAGCACCTTGACAAATAATTTCACTCTTCAAAAGCTGTTCCTGGTGAATTTAACCCTATCTTAGTGATGGCACAGGCTACACACTTTTGCAAATCTACAAAATATCAGTCCTTGTTTATATAGTGCTATTCTCCTTTTTTGTAATCAACATTATTATCTTTAGAGTGAGAATGGCCTGAGTTATAACCAACTCAGCCACTAACTAGAGATGACTCAGACTCGTAACTTAGCACTCCTCACCCTCTCTTTCTTCACCTGAAAATGCCAAATATGGAGTAAACCAAGGTAGAAATGCACAAGAGCTAAAGATTTTCTGTGATGATAAAAAAAAAAAAACTTTTTGTTTCTACTAAAGATTATTGGTTTGCACAAAAACTAATCTTCAAAGAGTATCAAAGCAGGCAGAATTTTATGGAAAAAGTCAACCTTAAATTTTTTTTAACCTTAATTTTTCACATAAATGAACTTACATTGTATTTTTTTAACAATATATTCTTTTATTGGCTATGCAGCTTAGAAAACACTATGGGACAGTTCTATTCTGTCGCATGGGTTCGGTATGAGTCAAAATCAACTCAATTGCACCTAACAACAAAAGCAACAAATAAGTGTGTAGAATTAAATTTTTCATAGATGGCATTAATTGTATTTCATATTCTACGTGCTCTTCTAGAATATAACCTTGTCCCTCCCCATCAAAAATAAGAGTCTAATTCCCCTCCCCTCAAAACTGGACTGGACTTACGATGCATGTATGAACCAATAGAAATGGTGAAAACGATATAGCATGCCTTTTGAGACTAGGTCAGAAAAGGTTATGTATGCATCTGCTTCCACGTTCTTTTGGGATGCGTTCTCTAGGGGCAGCCAGAGGCCATGTAAGAAATCCTTCTACTGGGACCACCATAGCGGAGAAGCCACATGCAATGTTACAGATGACAGCACAGCCAAGCTTGCAGGTGACAGCAGTACCAATTGCCAGTCATATGAGTGAACTGTCTTGGGTGTTGTGCTGGGTTGAATAGATATCCCAAAAGTTCATGTCTACCAGAACCTGTAAATGTGACATTATTGGCAGTAGATTCTTTGTAGATGTAATCAAATTAAGATGAGTTGATACTGGATTAAGCGGGCCCTAAATTCAATGACTGATGTTCCTATAACAAGACAGGAATTTAGACACAGAGACAATGAGAAGAAGGTCATGTGATGACAGAGGCATAGATTGGAGTGATGCAGCTGCACGCCAAGAAATGTCAAGTATTGCTGGCAACAAGCAGGAGTTACAAAGAGGCAAGGAAGGATTCTCCCCTAGAGCTTTCACAGCGAGCAAGGTCTTGCCGACATCTTGATTTTGGACTTCTAGCCTCGAGAACTGTGGTTCATTTGTTAAGGCAAATCTAAGCAACTAATATAAGTGTCTAACCCAGGCTTGCCTATTCATGACTATGGTCCCAAATTCATGAGAGACCCCAAGTGAAAACAACTCTTCTCAGTCCTTGCAAATTTTCTGACTATCAAATTGTGAGCAAAATAAAATTATGTTTTAAGTCACCATATTTTGGGTAGTATTTATGCCGCAAGAGTAACACGAACAGGATGGTTTCTTAAATTTAATTATTTTTCACCAATGATCAACCTTTAATATATTCTAAATAGTCCATTAAAATGCAATAGTTCCAAGGTTAGCCTGAACTATTTCTTAGTTTTCCCAAATTCAGTAAAAGGAATTTTATTTTCTTTAAAATAAGGTTGTTTATTAAAGTAAATAAAACTTTAAGATGTTACCAGAAAAAACATTTCTGAAATAAAGGCTAATAAGAAGTGTACTTTTTCTTCTGGTCGTCCCAGTGATGAATAACATTGTTCTGCTAGCAGACGACAACAATCTGGTAAACATCATGCTGGTAAAAGGCCAGGTTGTCCTAAAACATCATGCCTTTATCCACCCTCTGGAAAGGGTCCAAACTCCAAGATTTATTACTGTTAATGTCCAACAATATTTTCTATAATTCTGTCTTCAACTTAACAATAAGACAATGGTGATCCACTTCAGTTTTTGGCATGCGACTAAAAAAATATCTGGGTCCAATCCTGCCAAAAAGCTTTCTGCTCAAGAGGCGTGTTTCCCTTTTTCCCCGTAAAGTGGCAACTTGGCAATGGCAGTTAGGTTGGGCTTCATAAATAAAAGATTCTGCCTTTAATTTCATCCTTTCTGACAAACAAACTCAATGAAGGTTTAAGCTTCCTGGTTCCACAGTCAGCTTGAAAGGAAGAAAACGTGTGTAACATAGCTCCATGACTTTTTATTCCCACTTATCCATGATCTCTCCCATTTCCAGCTTGGTAGAATCAAGAATCGCTCACCTGAGCACCAAGCTATGCATATGTTCATTTACTCATTCGTTAAGCATTTACTGATGCTTGAAAGCCTACCAAATATAAGGCACTGTGTTGGGCAGAGGATCTACAAAGATCCTCTAGAAGAAAAGGCAGATGTATAAATAGGTAACTAAAACGTATTGAGATAAATACAACAATCAAGACAACTGCAAATTACAGTGAAAGCATAGAAGTAGGCAAACTGCAGATTTTTCCTGAAAGCAATCTGCAGACCAGGTGAAGGTTTCATTGAATCATGAGTGTTACAGCTTAGTTGCTACAAGACTTTTTTTTTTTTTTTTCCTTTCTTTCATTAAACCTGGATTTCAAACTGGTGTAATTCTTCTTTATCCTTATTTTCAAAAAAACATATAATCTTCTTGCTACTCTTTTGAAGGAGAGAAATTAAGATTAGAGGGTCCATGTTCCTCTATTATCCAAGGAGTTGATCCTCCAACTAACCAATTTCCATCTAGTCCCCTGGAGCCAGGGTTGATTTTCCAAAAGAAAATGCATCACAGCTGTAGCCTAACACAAAAAATGCCTTGATCCCAAACAGCTGGCTCCTTACCCCTCCAGGGACCCAAAAGGAAAGCAGGGATATGTCAGTTCTCAGGTCAAGGAGACAGATGCTTCCTTTGGCCTTCTCTGGCTTTTATGTTCCTTCTCCCCATCTTTAACCCCTTGAGTCAGGCCCTTGGATATATGGGTCACATTGAGTGTCAGTCTTGCTTCATCTGAAGATCTACCATGTCCTACCCCTAACAAATGTTAATTTAGGCAACCCACTGGGGCTTACTCTGAGCTCAACCTCCTTTCTGTATCACATCTTGGAAATACGCTTTTGATGTATCTGAAATTCCCAGTGAGGGTTACCCTGTACCCTTGCTGCTGCAGAGCCAGACATAAACAACAAAGTCAACTGAACTTCTAGCATTTTGTCTGCTCCTCTACAAAATTGCCCTGACTTATTCTGCTGAGCTGATTTCATGGAAGAAGTCTAATGCTTCGTTTATCTCATGTGTAAAGTTTACTTCTGGAAAACCAGTTTCTACAGGCAAGCAACAAGCTGCAACATAATACTTCTCATGTGGTGACCACTGACAAAATTTTCACCACAAGAATGAAGTCCATATTTGACTTTCTCATCCCTTCCTCCCCGTGGCACAGAACAGAGCCAGACCCATCATAGGCTCTCAATATATTTGCTGAATGAATGAATGAAACCATTGGAATAATCCTGTCACCTTTTGAAAACCTTTATGATATACTTTTTTATTTAGGTTTCAAAGTCTCTATGATATATGTTGGCATTGAAGAAGCTACTTCAAGCATTTGTTTTTCAGTTCTTGCTACTTAACATATTTTAAGTTGTTCTGGGTTCATGTGTGTATATTACTCCAACTGCAGAAGTTAGTGCCAATTTTCACAATTTTTTTTCTGCAAAATACTGCTAGAAAGCATGTTCTGAGTAAACAGGGCTTCAGGAAGGAGTGCCCTATTATGTTATTGGATTGTTACCTTAAAGAAATATATAATGGCAGAATCATACTGTGAGGGTTCCCCCCAACCCTTTCTTTCCAATAAACAAATGAACCAAAAAAAAAAAAAGAAAAGAAAGAAGTTAAAAAAAACAGGAATGTGAATCAGCTGCCATGTAAACTAAGTTCATCCCCTTTTGGCCCATCCACTGGGGCTTCAAACTTCTGAAGGTTTATCTTCTGAGTGTATTGCTCTTGGAATTCCCAGGCCAAATTTTTCTAAACGATGATAAACTGAATTTGGGATGTTAGACTGAAGTTACATGCTTGATAATGATAATGAATATTTAGATGATGCCTTCTTACAAAGATTTGCTTTGAAATTTTCTGAACAATGTAAACAGCTGGATTACAAAATGCCAGTGGTAAAGGCAAAACTAAGACCCAGAGATTAAGGGTATATTTTGGTACTTGAGAGAGAAGTTTTTTTGTAAAATTTTACTTCTTTTGCTTCTGATAACTGCATACTTTACAATTTAGTCATGGTCAAACTAAACTCTGTTATCTAGGCTTAGTCAAGAGTAGAAAGACTGTTTAGGTTTGTTAATATCTACTGCTTCATGAAAGGAAATCATAGAAATAAAATAAGCCATTATTCTGGAATCATAGAACATAATACATTATTCTGTTCAGCGTTTTATTTTATAGATGAGGAACCATGAAGCCTAGAAAAATAAAAAGTGATTTGTCTAAGATTGCAAAGTGATGGAGCCCTGACATACAAAAGAAAGAAAGGTCTTCTAACCTCAAAGCTACTTCTCTTTCCTTCTCATTAGGTGGCACTGTCTCTTGCATTTGAATTGCAGAGATTCAAACTGAAAAGGCTAAACTCTTAGAGTATCCTTTCCCAAGAATAAAACAAATAAGGTAAGTAAAGAGAGCTTGTGGCCCACTCACCCAAATCAGAACACTGGACAACTCGAAGATGGCATTGGCAGCGGAAGGGGCACACCGGCCCCAGGAGTTCCAGTTCAGGAAGCTCAGGAGATTTATCCTCTGGGCCTATCCCAGAAGCCTCATCTTCTAGCATAAAGTCAAATAAGCCTCTCTGTTGAAATGGTCCTGCCCAGGAAACTTGTGCAAGCAGGAGAAAGACGATAGCTGCCTTCATGATTTATCTCATCTATTTTCACAACCAGGGAACCTAGGAAAGAAATGAAAGGTTTAGGAAGAGTAGTGTTGCCTGCCCCATAGTAGAGTGAGCATAGAGAAAAATGTAAAGGAAAAAAAAAAATCATATTTTCATTTATTATTAGGAAACAGAGCATTAAAAATATATTTGAAAGGTGATAAGGTACATTATAGGCTTAACTGGTGAGCTACTTAAGAAGTAAAATTTATTTAAATATGTTATTTAAATCTACCTGTTTTCATTGTGGGTCTGAATTAAAATGATACACTATATTTTTGCATCATTTGCAAAATCATCATGATAGTAAATCACGGTGGACTTTTCAATGCTCACTCAACATAAGCCATGCTACAGTGAAATAAAGTTTTATTTATACACATGAGGGATCTCCAATTTCTGCTTCAAGAAATATCTCTGGAAGCCAGTCTCATCCCTCCAAAAACCAAAAACCAAGCCCACTGCCGTCAAGTCGATTCCGACTCAAAGTGACCCTATAGAACAGAGTAGAACAGTCCCATAGGGTTTCCAAGGCTGTCAGTCTTTACGGAAGCAGACTGCCACATCTTTCCTCCAGGTCAGTTTCAATGGTCGACCTTTCGGTTAGCAGCCAAGTGCTTTAACCACTGTGCCACCAGGGCTCCTATCTCATCTCTCCAATCTACTGTAATTATCTTGATGCAGACCCTTCTCATCACTCCCTGAACTATTGAAAAAGCTTCCAAATAATCTCTGTCTTGAATATTCCTTCTCCATGCCACCTTCCACTCTGCTGCCTGAATGATCTTCTAAAAAATAAATATCATCTTACTAATCTTCTACTGAAAAACACTTATTGACTTCCCATGGCTTGCCAGTAAGTCCATATTTCCTTGGGTTACTTGTAAGACTATTCACAGTTTGGTGCCAATTTATATTTCTAGCCATATTTCTCTCCATTTTCTTACCACTCCCAGTCTCCATCTCAATCCTAACACTCAAAGCTGATTGCCTTAAAAATACGTACCTTGTAAGAGTATTGTAAAGAGTAAGTAAGATAATGGGCTTCCCTTCTGTATTCCCCTGCTTATCCAGGGGAGGAGGTTGATTTCTCCCTCTTCTGTTCTCCCAAAGCACGTTGTTCTTACCTCTTTTAAAGAACTTATCACATTATATTGTAATTTGTTTTGCGTGCTTGGTCTGTCCCCCCACTAGGCAATGTACTCATCCAGGGCGTGTCTTATTATTTTTCTGTTCTGTATCCGGACCTTGCATAATATTTTACACATAAATAACCATCAATAAATAACCTCAATTGACCATCAAATTATTAACAATACAATTTCTTCAATTTGTTCCAAGCAACCAACCAGTCCTTTATTTTTTCTTTTCCAAAAAAAAAAAAATTTTCTTTTTTTTTCAAAATCTAATTCCTGGTACAAGAAAGTTATTGAACTGGAAACTTCAACCTGGTTTAAAGCAAGATTCATTTTTTAAAGTGAATCTATTGGTTGGTTCCAAACTGATCTTTTTTAATCAAGAGATAAACATATATGGGGAAATGCTAATTTATTTTTATATGACTTATCTGGCTTTACCTATTGGGCTGTTTTGTATAAAGAAAACAAAACAAGAACACTAAAATTAAGTTTCAATGTATCCACATAATATTGATTCCTTCATTCAACAAGCACTTATAGATCTATAATTCTTTGTTGTTGAGTTGATTTAGTTGGCTAAAGTGAAGATTTTATTTTCTTAATAAATCTGAATAACAAAACTAAGTTGATCATGTAAAGAAGAGGTGGCCTATTTTTAAGCCGATATATTTTAAATTCTATTCAAACTTTTTCAAGTATTCCCAAAGCATATTATAGACATGACTTTCCTTTAGTCTCATTATCTCTATTTTGGATTGTACACTTGCATGATTCTACACTAAAGTTGCACATTTGTAACTATAATTAAATCGTTGTTTTAGGTCATCACCCATTTGTAACGTATGCCAAAAAAAAAAAAAAAAAAATCCTGCATGCCCTAACTTAATGTGTCTTCTGGAAAGTTTTGCCTAGATCCACTGCAGATGAAACAAATACTTTTCAATTTTCTTACATTTTTGTTCTTAGTTTATATTTATTACCAAACTCTGTCCAAGGCAGCACATACATAATAAAGGCTGATGGCTTTTCATTTACAAAGTACCGTACAGATTTTTGTTTACACTAGCACTTTATATTCAGTACCAAGTTTGCTCTAGGAGCCCCTTCCCCCCAGTGACTGCATTGCCCTTTAAGAGGAGAGCCTATTGTTTTGGCCTGGCAGGGTTTTTTACTTGGATTGGATTTAAGGGAGTTGTTTTCTGTCTGTTTCACATTAAAATGCAATGTTTATGGTTTACCACAAGTTTTCTGGCCTTGCATATTTAATGTCTTACAATTTTAGAAGAAAAATGAAGCAAAGTAATTGCAGATTTAATAAATGGCAACAAGAAATAATACAGACTTTACTTTTTTATCTTTTCTCCAGAGTAGGAAAATGCCTAGTTGTTGCTCTAACAGTCACTCCCCCCACACCAAAAAAAAGGAAACAGTAAGCATTAGCTCAGAGGAATATTGCTATTTATATTTGTTTACTCTCATTAAAACATTGCAAATTCTCTGCACAATATGCTTTTTGATTGAAGCTGAGTGCAGAGGCAGCTAGTAGCTCAATTACTCATTTTATATCACTTTCATTTACTACTCTGTGTGTGTGTGTGTGTGTACGTGTGCGTGCATTTTAACTCTAATGCCCTGGGGAAGAAAAATAGCTTGTCTAGAAACTTTATACAAATTGCTCCATGAAATAACTTCTTTGCAATTAGTGTCATGAAATCTCAGAATCTTAAAGCAATTAATGTATGCTTCTTATAATAATAATTTTTTGAATCCTTTCTTTCCTTAATATATCAGAAGAATAAATAGCCAACCAACAGCAGCTGTTCATGTAGAAAGCAAGGCATCTACTTTTGAAATATATACTTCCTAAAATTTCATTAAAATTGCTTTAAACTTTGTCAAAATGTATGACTTTTTCCAAATGTTAATTGCTAGTATAATATTGTTACTCTTCTAAAAGTAGTCGCCACACTTTATAAATTTTTAAATAAAATATGCTAAGTTCTGGCTCCTAAAACTACTTCAGCCCTTAAATTAACTGTATCATTGACATCAACATTTATATGATGTCATTTATGCCTTTGTTGTTTCAAAGTCGAATTGTAACCATCAGCAGATAAGTGAAGCTATAATTGCAAAGAAAAGTTAAAATCACCCATCACTGGATGGATTAAAAATCTAAAAAATAATAGAAATAATTAAAATATTAGCAATAAAAGTAGCATTTATCCATAAATACAGACTGCTATAGGAGGCATTCAGCTCTTTTTTCTGGTCAAAATAGCAAGAGGAAGAAAAAGCCACAGGTATTTACATCACTGGGAGCCCACTTACCCAGTGGTTACCCTGTAACCCTGCCTTGAAATTAGAAAGAAAAATAACCCACTTCCTCATTTCATCGTAAACGCATGTTATAATAAAATTTCATTTGAATTGAAAATACCGGCATGGTTGCTTTTCTTTACATTTAAGGAATTACGCTGCTAACTGTGAGAATAGTTTAGTTAGGTCTTTAATATCCAGCACACATATTTTCAATATTTATTTTTACTTCTCTGGTGATAATTTCTATTCTTTTCTTGGGATGCAGAAATACACATTATACCTATATAGCTGATCACCAGAATTCACTTCTCTGATGTTTTAAACATTCTCAAAGCATACAAGAACTCAGGAAGGAAAAAAATCATTAAATAATCGTACGACAAACAGCATGCTAGCCTAGAATGCTTCCTTTAACACTTCCTCAATAACTAAACATTTCATTAGTACAACTACAAAATATATCAGTGTAGATAATTATGGTGTTAGGTTACAGTTTTTTAATAAATACCCTTGCAAGAACAGAAGAGAAAAAAATTAAAACAATGCATTGAATCATTTTACCAAATAATTAACTTGTTTTCAAGCAATACTTTTTTTTTAAATGCCGCATAAAGATTATTAAAAGTTTAGTACATTTTTTTTTCTTTTTTCTCACCACATAATTATTTTTGCTATCAACTTGACCGCAGTTTTCTTAGTCTGTAGCAGAGTTCAGGACTATTATTGAAAACCATACCTTTTAATCCGGGGATTTGCCACAGGAGCCCTCAAAGCTGAGATGTAATTACACTAAATATTCAGCCCAAGCAAAAGAGTTTGCAGGTGTGGAAAGGAGGAGGGGGTTAGGTGCTGCTCTGTGACTGTCACTAGGTTGAAAACCTCCTGCTTCTACTCCATAGCACAGTTAAAAAATAAGGTTTCCCTCAATGAACACAATCCGGCTGACACCCACATTAGATCATATGGTAATGATATGTCTCTTGTATTGAAGCCAGAAACTTTATCAGCCTTTTTTTCTCCCCCGTTTGCTTTATTCCTTTTGCATCTGTTTAAGATTCTAAACTGCTTATGTAGTACAGAGCAACTTGCCTTGAAATTTGTCATATTCTGTTGATTCATTTCCCTAAAAATATTGTAACTAAATAGTTTTTTTCCCCACCCCCCAATCCACTCCACTCTCCACTCTTTCTAGCCCTGTTCGTAAGTAACATTTATCATACTTCCCAAATAACAAATAATCTTTCTTCCAGGATGTGTACGTCCAGCAAATGGAATGAAATTGATCTTGTAGTTATTTTAAACGTGGTCTGCAAAAATAAATGTATAGCCTTATGTGAAAATACTCATTCGGATTCTTACTTGCCTTGGAACTTCTGTGCAAATTTGAGTTTTTCTATATATTTTTAACGTGTTTCTAAAGAGTTCTGGAACATAGCCATGGTTTTATATGAAAAACACGTCACATATTATTTTCATTACTGATAGTTTAAAATCTCTTTTGTTGCCCAGCAGTTTTTGTTTTTTAAATAACACACACACATACTAGAAATTGGCCACAATGAAGTTTAGTCTGTATTTGAAACATTCAATTTTAATAGA